TTTTAAACACGACGGCCCCACGTTGGGCGCCAAAAATGTAACCTAAGAAATGAACTTTGTGATTCCACCAAAACTTTCTCATGGTACCGCAGGTTTATTCCCGATTTTTCCACCTTGATTTCACCAATTACGGCTTTGTTGCGTAAGGGTAGGAAGTTTAGCTGGACACCAGAGTGTGATGTTTCATTTGTTAAGATTAAGGAATGTTTGGTGAAGGCCCCTGTACTAAGTTGTCCTGATTATAATTTTCCATTTGAAGTTCATTGTGATGCTAGTGGTTATGGACTCGGTGCTGTCCTCGTTCAGATTCATCCAGATGGGGATCGAGTAATTAGTTATTTGAGTCGTTCGTTGACTAAGCAGGAACGTGTTTATTCCACTACGGAGCGTGAATGTTTGGCTGTTCTATGGGCAGTAGAGAAACTTAGACCGTATTTAGAGGGTGTCTCATTTACAGTAATCACCGATCATTATTCCCTGGTTTGGTTACAAAATCTAAAGGACCCTGCTGGTCGATTAGCCAGATGGAGTGTCAAACTTTAACAATACGACTTTAAGATTGTTCATCGCAAGGGTAAAGATCATGTTGTGCCGGATACTTTGTCTAGGGCTATACCGGATGTTGAGATTAGTGAGGTTTCTGTTGTTAAAGATCGTTGGTACAGTGGTATGATAGATAAGGTGTTAAAACACCCTATAAAGTACTCACAGTGGCGAGTCATTGATGGTAAGCTATTCAAACACATTAGAACAAATTATAAGACTTTAGGAGATGTTGCTGACGATTGGAAAGAAGTTGTTCCTAAAGGGGATAGGCGAGGGATTATGCAACAATTGCATGATTTGCCTTTAGCTGGACACATGGGTGTGTTGAAAACTTTTAAGCGTGTTAGTGAAAGGTTTTATTGGCCCAAACTTAGGTCAGATGTGGCTGCGTTTGTTAGGAATTGTTCGGTTTGTGCAGCGCATAAGGTTGACCAGAGTGGCCCTAAAGGACATATGACACCCCAACCAAGAGCTACTCGTCCTTGGGAAATTATTTCTACTGACTTAATAGGTCCACTACCTCGATCCATGGCTGGCAATAGATTCATCTTAGTCGTTGTCGATCTGTTCACCAAGTTTACGCTTTCTTTTCCTTTGAAATCCTCTACTGCACCAATAGTAGCTAAACGAATTGAAGAGGGGGTATTTTTGTTGTTTGGTATTCCGCGTTTGTTGCTTTGCGATAATGGTCCACAGTTTACTTCGGGAGCTTTCTCTTCATTAATGAATGAGTATGAAGTTTCGGTACGGTTTAACGCCCATTATCATCCTCAGGCGAATCCTACTGAAAGGTATAATAGGACTTTAAAAACGATGTTGGCTATGTATGTTTCTGATAATCACCGAAAGTGGGACGTTGACTTAGCAAAAGTGACTTGTGCTATACGTACTTCTTTTAATGAGTCTACTAAACAGACTCCTTACTATCTTAATTTTGGGAGAAATATGGTCTTAAAGGGTAGCGAATTTGCAATTAAAGATAAACTGAGAGATTGTTCTGCTGACATTGGTATTAATAATGTTGAGAATAACAAGGCATTTGATGATTTGTTTAAGGACGTCAGGGAACGACTAGATAAAGCTTCGCAGAAAAACGAAAGGGTTTATAATCTTCGGCGGCGTAGGGAGGAATTGCTTCCTCATCAATTGGTTTGGCGTAAGAATTTTGTTTCTTCTGATGCTGCGCGGTACTATACTAAGAAACTGGCACCTCGATGGGTTAAGTTAAGAAAAAGGTATCTCCGTGGACATATGTTTTGATGGACGAAAAAGGTAATGACAAAGGGACTTGGAATATTAAAGATTTGAAGACAGCTAGCGCTGGTGAGAATTCACCTGAGTGAATTCTCTTGAAGTAAGGGGGGAATCTGTAACGTTCATTTTTGGCCCCACGTTGGGCGCCAAAAATGTAACCTAAGAAATGAACTTGGTGATTCCACCAAAATTTTTAAACTAAAAAAAAAATTATTAAAGTATTAACTACAATTAAAAATGTTGTCTACTACGGTTACACAAGTTTCGGTTGTTCCGGTGTCAACCTTCAGGCCTTCGACGTCGCTCAGACGGCAGCTAGGGGGTGGATAGCTTACAAGAATTCCGGAAATAGTAGACAAATGAGTAGGCGCCAACTGGGTCTATATAGTGGCCAAACTATGATCCTATTTCCCCAAAAACCCAGTAAATGAGGAAAGAAATAAAAGACAAACCTCAACTTATGTTCCTTTATAAAAAAAAAATATTTACTAAATATATCGGCTTTAGATTTCAACAATTATAATGGACAAACTAATTACCTAATGGCTTAGATAATCCAAAAAAAGTTGGAGGAAATAAAAGGGAAAATTTACACTGTATATGTATATGCGTAACCCAAAAAAATTAATAATGTATCAAAGTATGGCACGGTTCGTCGTTAGCTTGGTACCAGGCATGACGCTTGCGCAAAATATTAATTTCCACCTTACATAAAAAAAATAAAATATAAAATAATAGTTAACTTAAATCTTGCGCATAACCGCACCTATACTACATCATATATTATAAACTAAACAATAAACTTATAATCCTTATAAGCTTATAACCCTCTCCAAATTGGAAGGCGATATCTGCTTAACTTTTAGTTAAGACCAAACTACCCAAAAGAAAATTATTAAACCATGAAATTTTATAGTTAAGTATAATTCATAGAACTAAATAAAAATATCAAAAAAAGAAAATAAAAATACAACATATAAAGGACTTTAGACACAGAGGTTATTTACTTAAACTCCCAGGTTGGAAGAGGTTACTTAATATCTGCCCCCACACGGGTCTTCTGAGATTGCTTAACTTAATCGTTAAGTCTGGACCATTTAATAATGAATAAATTGAATAAAGTAAAATTATGGCAGTAGCCCTTAACAACTCAAGAATTACAACTTAAACGTGGAAGCAGTCCAAGTGTTCTGCGACCCGAAGGATTACTACATCAGCATTAAGTGCTTAAATTAAGTAAAAATTTAAAATATTAATCAATTAAACGATGTAACATTTGATAATACTTAAGTTATGAGTGAAAGAACCCTAGAACATTCTGTGCTCAAAAGTATAAATAATGTTGAGAATACCTTGACAACATTCGGTTGAAAGTGAATGTATAGTTTAACAATGCACGCATGAAACCTTCAATATAACGTATAAGAAAAACCTGATAGTAGGGTGTCTTCTTTCACAGCATTCCCATCTTCCTATCCAGAACGAGAAACATCCTTGTAAATCTAGTTACAAGTAAACTAGGTGGTTAGCATACCAATGTTCTGTGTTCCCTCGATGAAACCGTTGAACTCCGGACGATATAACCCTTTGTGTACAACTGTTGAAATCCTGAGTCGCTACCCCCTGGGTGAAAATTGTTGTCGAATCCTGGGTTAACAACCCCCTGGGTGAAAATTGTCGACGAATCTTGGGCTAACAACCCCCTGGGTGAAACCCTTTTTCGTAAAGGGTTAACTTGGTAGCCTTCCAAGGATGAGAAACACGTGAGATGATCCACAGCACAACAATATTCCACACTCCAAATGCTGTGAACTTCCAATTATTGCGTTAAAATCCTATACTAGATATGGGCTGGACCAATGACCATAGGAATTTACCAATACATTAAAATTCCTCTCAAAATACGAAATGTCCATTTACCCACAATTAACCATGAAGTAGAATCTAAAATCCCCTTTAATTAGGGTAAGCCGATGGGGCTAAATATTAAGAAAATTCTATTTCGACACAAAAATCGCCTTTCTCGTGACTCAACACCCACTGACAGAAACAATACGTCAGCCGTCCAAAATGGCCGAAATCCCTTTCCGATAAATGTCAAGTGGGTTCAGAAATTCATCCTCAAGAATTCCCCACTATATAACTTAAGAGACCATTTACGAAAGGTACCCTAAAAACTATATTTATATACAGTATAACTACATTTGGGAAACTGTTCCCGACAAAAATTAATACAACAGCGATCGCAAAAAAATCCCTCACGACTTAAAATCGCTCATTGTGAAACTACCTTACCTCGGGTTCTGAGCCCGATATTGGAACGTCCCACCAACATGACACTTGTCGGTGTTCTGTCGTCAAATGACGTTTATGTCATTCGCTGTCATAATTTAATCCAATACTGACCGCTATAAACAAAAATAAACAAAGAAAATCTTAAAGAATGGTATCGTAAATAATTAATTACCCAAAGGTGAGACTATAATACATAATATGTATAAATTTACAACGAAACTTGGTCTATTTTTAGGAGAATCTGGCAAATTAAAACAGTGAACACTACACTGCAAATATGACCATTGTACAAAGTATTATACTAGTGGTGAGATGAAATAAATTGTAATAATGATGTCCGAAAGTTAGAATACAGGTGAAATTAGTTAATGACAAAAATAATAGTGATATAATCAATACGATTTTACCCTTTTTTTTTCGTATGATTAACCAGGTAAGCCAAAACAATTTTATTAATTCGTGGGGCCAAAAATGAACGTTACAGCCAGGACCAGAAGAACATTTTAATAATGCTCAAAAGAGTGCCAGAAGTACCATATAAAGGTGCAATGGATTATTAAAATCTCGATTTTGTTGCTTATTAAAACATAGAGCTTTAAATTACCATCCAGAACGTTGTTCAAAAATCATAAATACATGTGTAATGCTTCACAATTTTTGCATTCAACACAACATTCTTCCGGCAAATGATTATGAAATTCATGATGAAAATTTTAATATAGTTTATGCAAAACCTCTCCAACTTGATGGCAATAGAAGAAATCGAATAAATCCAGAATTGGAAGCTGGAAGAACTGTTCGACAACAAATTTTAACAAATTATTTTAACCAAATTAATGGGTTATATAGTTGTTATAATAATATGTAAAAGACGCTTGTACATTGTGTTTTACTATGTAACGGACATAATCAAATTGTAAGTATTGTAAGAAGTTGGTGCATTTGGATGTCCAGTAATTGCTGATGGACCCATTATGTTTAATATTTTTTCTTCTTCACCAGTAAGCTCTTTAATGGGCTCTCCTCCTCCTGTCATGCCTCTGTGCTTTTTGACTTCAGATCCCTTTGCTTTCGCTTTACTTTTCATGTCTTGCCAGGTCTAAAAACTATGTTTATATAGGACTGGTATTAAAAAATATATTTATAATAAGTACTTACTTTTCTCCATTGTTTCCAGTTTTTCGACACCGGACCTGCGGCATTCAGTTGATTAGCTATTTCTAGCCAATATTTTTGGGACGTTTTGTAGGTAAAACTTAGCGAAAATTTACCACTGCACAAATCGGGATACTGTTGTAGACATTCTATCAACATATTTTTTTGTTCTATTTTGCTTTTTTTACTCATTTTTAATATTTCAAGAACTTTTCACTATTATTTACTCATAAAAATATGTTTTATGATTTGTTCTTTTCTGTGAAATTAATGTTTTTTATATTTTTATGTTGTCAATACTGACTATATTGCGAGGTTGTCAAGTGTTACCGTTCGGCACTTCAAACTTTGTAACGCATAGATTGGAAAATGTATCAAAATAATTTTATCTGACTTTTTTTAAACGTTTTCAAAAGTACACTTTTCTAATCGAATACATTCGAGAATTGACTCCCTGGATAATATCATGCACACTGAATAGGATTAGTGTTTAAATAGGATAAGTTGGCACCAGCTAGTGCCCATCCAAATTAACAGATGATTGACATGTCAACTCGGAACTGACAGTCGGCATTGTCAATTGTCATGGTACCGAACCGATGAATGGAAGACGACGTTGAATAAAGTATTAAATACTATTAATAATTATTTATTACAACCTAGAAATAATACATTTACTTGGCGCTGCGAACTTTTTACTTGGCGCTGCGAACTTAACAAGTTGAGAAAAATATTTAATAATGCCAGACAATCGGGGCATTGGTCCGATGCTCATAGATGAAAGGTAGCAGAAAATTGGAGGTTATGGCGATCACGTTTCAAAAATGACCTGATTGCAAGTGAAATCACCAAGAAAAGTGAAAGTACACAATGTGCACAATTGCTTCATTATATCGGCAAAGACAGTTTTAGAATATACTCTACTTTCAAGTTTGAAGAGGATGAGAAAAATAAACTAAATAAATTAATTGAGAAGTTTGAAGCCCATTTTCGTCCGAAAGAGAACCTGACCTATGAAAGGTAAACATTTTTCTCGTGTAAGCAACAATCGGCACAGTCACGAGAGCAATTTGTAACAGAAATTAAATAAAATGCTTTGAAATGCAAACTAGGGAACCTGCAAGAGAGTCTTACTAAAATAATAGGTAAATAATAAAGAAATAAGGGAATGAATGCTACAAAATGATAAAGACGATAAACTCTCGTTAGAAGAAGCTGTACAGTTGTCAAATAATGTTATCATCTTAAGTAAAAAGTGAAGCGATACAAGGAGAATACCTAAATGTTGAAGTACTAAAAATTAATAGGAAAATAAGATAGTGTACAAAGTGTGGAATAAGTCATAAGATTAATAAGTTTCCAGCCTATGGAAACAAAACAAACCTTTGCAAACAAAAAAACCATTATGCAAACTACTGCTACAAAAAACGGCGAGGTATAAACGAAGTAACGGAAGAAAATATAGATAGTGTAAGTTCAAATGTTAACACTGTAAGTTCATTTTTTATAGGTATTATAGAAATAAATAGTGTAGAAAAAAGAGTGGATTACTCAAATTGTAATAAATAAACAGATTGTAAATTTTAAAATAAGATATGGTAAATATTTTGCCCAGACATGTGTTTCAGAATTTATAATTGAATGATAACATTCTGTATAAATCACAAAATGAGCTAACTTTATAAACAGGGGATGTACTAAAGGTTACAGGTATGTATAAATTGAGCTGTCAGAAAAATAATAAATTTTTTGAACTAAAATGTTTTGTGGTATATCCAAATACTCAAACAATTGTAGGATTACCTGCTTGTATGCAATTAAATTTAGTTAAAAGAGAGCATTGTATTTGAAAGCATGGATTTTACAAATGTAATAAATGATTACAGAGATGTTTTAACATGTATAGGATTTTTAAACAAGATAAAACGATACCATATAGAGGTTGAAAAAAATGTTAAACCTGTGAGAAAGGTAACTATACCTTTAATGAAAAATTTGAATGAACTTGTAAGTACAAAAATAATAGGTGGATGGACCTTCTGATTGGATAAACGCATTGGTCATTGTAAGAAAACCAAATGGTAAATTGCGAATTTGCTTAAATCCAAAAGATTTAAATTATGTTTTAAAGCGCGAGTGTTGTCAAATTTCAACTTTGGAACAAATAACAAGTGAAATGGCGGGGTACAAATGGGGGTACAACTTTATTTTTGACCAGCTTATATTAACTTTTATTTTTTGTACTTTTTTTGTTTGTAGATTTTGGTGTTTCGGTTTTTTTAGGTTTTTTTTTCCGACGGTAATATTTTTATCCTAAAATGTATAAGTTTTGTTTCAGTATTCCTTTACACATTTACGTTATTTTGGCTTACCTTAGGAAATTCTACTCGATTATTTCTTTATTAACTCCCATTCCTGCAATTATTCTAATCTCCTCAACTCTCATCATTACTTACCTAGGATATTATCTGTTTGATTTTGGACCTCTTCGTCATCAAACACAAGTGATCGTAACATTTCCTGATCATCGGGATCATCTAAATTAAAATCTGAAAAAATTCACTAAGTTAGGCCCAATGTCCATTACAATGTACACTACTTTTCAAATGTATGCTTTCTCACACTATGTACCAATGCTCTGTATTTTTATCAAATTCCTCATAAATTTCGATAGTTAGTCTTACATGCCTTAAACATTTCAATTATTTATTGCAAATTTTAATATCAAATAATTAAACTTTTACTTACGATGTTTCTTGCTTGTTGACATCGCTATTATACCAGATAAAATAACTGTTAACTGTACGGCTACCGAATTTGAACTAATTTGTTTTAATGTAATATTCTACGAATGCAGACAGAGATTACTGAGTAGATAGGCAACTCAAATAGCATTAAAAACTTGTAATTACGGGTTGCTTAAATCTATGTCCATTGCAATGGACATTGGGACTGAAAGGGTTATGTAATTCAGTTTTCTCACAAAGTTGTATTCATTCTTTTATTTGATTCTATTTTTCTTAAATTCACTTAAAGTTAGTTTATTGCCATGAAACTCGATTTGGTTTTGAAGCTTATTATCAAGATTTCTTCTTTTCTTTATTTTAAGGTGATATTTATTATCAGTTGGTATTTTTTATAAATAGTTTAGCTTTTCGATATTCGGTTTTTATACATATTATTAGAGTTAATGGTAAGAACATGGTACCCTCAGTATAAATACCTTACTTATAGACAGAGCTGGGCAATTCCTCGTTAAAAAGTAATTAATAATTACAATTACTTTTTTTCGTGTAATTTGTAATTGTTTTTAAGTACTTTTTTATCTTAAAGTAATTTGGAATTGTAATTTCAGCAAAATCTGTGAAGGAATTGTACTTTATAATTATATTAATTTATATTATTTAAATTGTCTAAATAAAATTACTTGTCACAAGTACAATTACTTTTCCAATTACAATTACTTTTTCGATTACATTTATTTTTCCAATTACAATTACATTTATAAGCATAATTAAATTTTTTAATTACAATTACTTTTAAATGCACGTGATATATAAACAAAAAATTTCCTATTCGAACCGGTCACGAGAGCTCGAACTCGCATCCATATCATTTGTTTAAATGCATTTGATTAAAGCGTTGTGCCGTGAAGCAGTGAAATTGTTTAACCCAAAATAATAACAGTAAGGGGCAAGTAGATGCAGATATCCTTATTTTTAAGACGTATTTTGTATTTATATTATTATAAACATAATTTATGTTGCATAATTATTAAAAATAAGGAAATACAGTATGAAGTGTTGCAAATAGAATTTTTTATGGGGTAAATACTAAAAACTACTTATTTACGTTGCGTAGATATTTCTAGTTAATATTCTAGTTTTCTACATTGAAATGAAGGATTAACTATTTTAATAAACGTATTCAAAGTTACTTTAGCGTTGCAAGTATTTGACTTTAACGTAGAAAATGCAATATTTTAATTAAATTAATAGCACTTCTAACAGAATATAAATATATTTTATGTTATAAGAAATTATTTGATGATGTAGATCTATAACCAAATTTGAGTAAAATGTGTCTCATTTTTGTTTGTACGAACGAGATACAGAACGATACATTTTAGATTTTTCAATATTATTTAAATATTATGTACAGAGTGATTCATTAAGGGTGGCGACCAGCCGTATCTCAGAATATCTTGAAGTTGATTTTTTTTAAAGGAACGCAAAAAAGGTCGATTTTTATTTCAAGAGGACACCTTCCTATTGTAACCTAACAAATGAACTCGGTGATTCCACCAAAATTTTAAACTTAAAAAAAAAAAATTTATTAAAGTATTAACTACAATTAAAAATGTTGTCTACTACGGTTACACAAGTTTCGGTTGTTCCGGTGTCAACCTTCGGGCCTTCGACGTCGCTCAGACGGCAGCTAGGGGGTGGATAGCTTACAATAATTCCGGAAATAGTAGACAAATGAGTAGGCGCCAACTGGGTCTATATAGTGGCCAAACTATGATCCTATTTCCCCAAAAACCCAGTAAATGAGGAAAGAAATAAAAGACAAACCTCAACTTATGTTCCTTTATAAAGAAAAAAAAATATTTACTAAATATATCGGCTTTAGATTTCAACAATTATAATGGACAAATTAATTACCTAATGGCTTAGATAATCCAAAAAAAGTTGGAGGAAATAAAAGGGAAAATTTACACTGTATATTTATATGCGTAACCCAAAAAAAATTAATAATGTATCAAAGTATGGCACGGTTCGTCGTTAGCTTGGTACCAGGCATGACGCTTGCGCAAAATATTAATTTCCACCTTACATAAAAAATAAAATATAAAATAATAGTTAACTTAAATATTGTGCATAACCGCACCTATACTACATCGTATATTATAAACTAAACAGTAAACTTGAAATCCTTATAAGCTTATAACCCTCTCCAAATTGGAAGGCGATATCTGCTTAACTTTTAGTTAAGACCAAACTACCCAAAAGAAAATTATTAAACCATGAAATTTTATAGTTAAGTATAATTCATAGAACTAAATAAAAATATCAAACAAAGAAAATAAAAATACAACATATAAAGGACTTTAGACACAGAGGATATTTACTTAAACTCCCAGATTGGAAGAGGTTACTTAATCTCTGCCCCCAAACGGGTCTTCTGAGATT